ACACTTAGTTTAAAGGTCATAAACAATTTTATTTTTACAAAACAAATACAAACATGTCGCAAATGAGCACGGTGAATATAATAAGGAGGTTAGTAAGCCACACGAAGATCGTGTACGTGAACGTGTAAAAATATGGTCATTTGCTGTTTAGACAAAAGTCCACTGATTAAGTGTAAGGTATAAAAAATACTGTAATTGGATCCTTAAAAATGCCAATTTAGACATGACATTGTTAAAGGGGTTTATAATTAAGCGCTTAAGATCGCCTTAAAATCAACAGTCCTTTTCACAATTAACGAATGTTTACGGATCCAAACATCTCAATAAGCAATTTGCGTATATTTAGATTAGTAAATAACCAAATCAGCACCAAAGCAAGTGTTTATTCAACGATTTAATTGGCACGTGCGAAGAAGGACGATCCATATATTCTGATTAGAGCGTTCCTTTATCTTTTAAAGTAAGACAATATATTTTCACAGATTGGGTAATTTATCCCAAGATATGACTGTGAAATAGTTTTCTGGCTTTAAAAATATTGTTTCTCGAATTTTGTTTCGAATGGACTTTGGATTTCTTGATAAGGTAGTCGGTGCAGTACAAGTACTCGAAACAGCTAATACACTTTACTTACGAATACGTTCCTTTGTGGTACATATGGTGTCCCTTTATTTTCTAATCAAGTGATGTCCCGAATTGTTTAAAAAAATTTACTAAAGTAACCATTTCGTTAACAAGTGTAGTAAATATGAAAGGTCAGAAATCGGCTATTCTGAGTGAAGAAGATATTTGAGCAGTTGTGGCTTTCCTCATCTGATTTCGGCAAGCTCTATAATAAGTACAATGATTACCAGAAAGGCATCCATTGGAGCACAGGCGTATTGTCAACATAATTCAATGTTACCTTTTACAAGATTGTTTTTCCCACTGTATGATCCACAGCGTGTATATTCCGAAATATAGTTTATAATATAAGAAGATAAGTGGTTAGGCAATAATTCTTTCCTTAATATTGTCGATTTACTAATTGGAGAATAAACTGATGAAGAACATGTTTGTTTCTTGAAAAAGCATTGTAGAGGGCTCTGACTACTTGGCACATTCTTAGATCGCTGATGGCCTAATGGATAATTAACGTTTTGTACCAACTGATACAATGATTATTATCATCCATAGATTTAAGTACCTGTTCCTAAAAATCATTGCATAGATGTTATAATTCTTTGTGTTTTCTTTGGTTATCATACAGATAGAATAAGACTTATTTCAATATTCTTGGAGTAGTTTAATTGTTCAGTATACCATTCCAATGGTAACAAATAATGTATACTAGTAAGGAGCGGGGTAGTTACATGCCATATGCCTTGATAGAATCTCTAATCAGTGAAAATGGCATTGAGTAAATAAAAAACCAAAGAGTATTTTCATCAGAGTGCATGGACCAGCCCTTGTTTTTGTTTTGATCAAATAAGTAACTGCACCATATAAATATAACAATAAGATTAAAGTCAACAAACACCAAACCAATATATAAGGCATGTGTAGGTGCTCATTAAACAAGCAAAATACACACACCTGAAGATATACAAAAGACAACAACCGCCAGAAAATACAATTGTCGGACGTCTGTAAGTCTTAGCTTTCCTGTCAATGGTAATATTCAAAACTTTATCCTTAATCAACATTTAATTAGTGTATACGATCTTTACATGATTTAGGTTAATTTGTCAATAGATGTAAATGTACATTTGCATAAGGAGGGGGTTTTATGGACGGGGGAAATGTGTACACATATTCTACGAGAAGGGAGATAAACATTTGTTATTCACTAGGAGGGATTTGATATGGGAAATATCTCAAGGATAATTTCAATATTTCCCGAAGGAACACAGCTACCGGGCTGCCCTCCGCCAGAACCCACAGATGTTTCAACGAGCTGTGGGTGACATGGAGAGACGAGCCAATCTCTGTGTGCAGAGAAATGGTGGGCATGAGGAGGGGCATGGAATGTAACTTCTTGTAAGATGGAAGACAAGCATTGTGCCTTAATTTACTGACTTAACTATGAACACTTAACTGTTGATGCCAATTCATTTTCCAAAAGCTACTGGTCATAGCACTGATTTTTGTAATGTCTAAAACTTGGTCCAGAGCAGACTTTGAGCCATTGTGCAAAAGGAATGATTATTCAGTGGTCCATGGTCGATTATGAATAAATTACATATCATTGGAAAGAGGTGATATGTGGCTTCATGGTTAACTAAATGAAATTAATGTAGACATCACTGGTTTTGAGGTTTTGTTATTGCTTGTTGCGTTTTTTTGGGACACACTGTAACGCTTATAGCAGTCACTTGTCCATTGACCGAGTAGTTTAAGTTCCCACTCTTCCATCGAGGCCATTGCCCCACTTGTGCAACCCCCTATTCTGTAACTATAACCACTATAGTCTTGGGGGTTGATACCAATAAGTGCTAGAAATGTACGTGTGTGATCAATGAATACTTTTCTTGTAAGAAATGTTCCATCTTCAAACTGGAATAAAGGAGAATTTTTATCTGAGATTAATTTCAATTTTTTTTCCATTGAGCACACTGCGCACACAGGATGTTTTGTACAACCAATGACTAATTCAACTCCTGTTCCTATCTTATCCGTTTTTGAATGTTTGAGCATGACTTTCATGCAATTTTCATTAATAAAAGTGACATCTTTTCTCGTGAAATCTTTCTCAGTATCAAAGTGAATTGGGTTCTTAACAGTAACCTCGGAACATCGCAGTAATGCAAAAAATGAAAGTGTCATCGCAGACCAAAACGTTATTGTGTTATGATCCAAAGTGCGATGTAACACTTCCAATTTCTTCATTATGCTATGGTCAATTGCTAATTTCCGATTGAGCGTATTATCTTGAGAAACATGAATGCCCTTCAGAGCACGTTTAATACAAAAGCTATCATTTAAAGGATCATTAAAACCGTTTTCTAATTGTAAAGAGCGTATAGCATATAAATAATTTGTAATGGTACCATGACGTAATTTACGATCTTCACAATCTGCAATGAATAGCATTAATGTGTCTTCAGTTGTTGGTAGATATTTTAGACTGTGGGATTCACAAAACTGTATGAACATTTTTTGTCCAATTTTGTATGTCCTCTGAGTGGATTCTTGAATTCCATTCTAACTAGTTGTTTGGACTTTTGTTTGAGGAATCTCAATCTTTTGGAAGTGTTTTCTTCTGAAAAAATAAAGCTAATCTGAAGACACATTAAAATTACAATGATTTTAACAATCGACAGATAAACTGATATCATGTAAAAACTACAATTATGACAACAACAGTATAATAACAACATAACTTATTAATAACACATAACTTAATTACAGCTGTAACATTTTTATGGTATTTTGTTTAGTATAATAAAAACTCCATTTGAGTCTTGATTGCAATTAATACATTACGTCCACCTTAACTGGACTAATGAATGTGAGATTTAGTTTTTCTGTTTTGCAAAGATTTCTCAGTTTTTCAAACTGTAGTCTACTTATTGCATCTGCCAAGTCATTCTTGATTCCTTCGATATGTATTTATTTGCACTGGCATTGAAATTTTGCACTATAATAGAATAGTGATCTAACAAGAGACATGAGGTGGATATTCTTGCAAGCTCCATAATTTATGACTTGTACAACGGCCATATTGTCACATCTGAAAATAACTGATCCGTTGTGCGAGATGTTGTCCCCATGTGGCTAGAGCGGTTACTATTGCATATAATTCTTTCCAGGCAATAGATTGGCATCTTTCCTTTTCATTAAACGATCCATACGTGTACTGTTCTTTAAATAATGCTCCAAAGTGGTCTCCAGATGCGTCGCATAGTTGAATTTGATCATTATTAGACCAAGTGTCTTTGTAGAAGAAGCTCACGCCGTTCCATTCAGGTAGATATCTGAGCCACCATTTGATATCAGACCTGAATGTTTCGTTTTCGACTGTGACGTAATCGTCAAGATAATGTAGACAGTCTGTTACTCCTCTTTCTTTCATTATGAATTCCAAGGTTTTCGCGTAATCGTTGAATAATTAAGTTGAACTACCTGTACGTGCGCCGAATGGCAGAACGTTATCTAAAAAGTATTGTGTTTCTAAAAGTTTCGTATTTTCGTTTGATACTTCCAATGTTGTTCCGAGTAAGGACCAGTCCTGCTTACGGACAGCTATAAATTTGAATGCGTCTTCGAGGTCCAACTTGCTGATGAGACATTCGTGTCCATATTTCCTAATTAGATCCACGATGTCGTCATGGGTAATATAATGGCATGAATATTCCTCTTTATCAATATAGTCGTTAACTGATTCTCCTGGAGGCCATGACAGATCGTGGATGACCCTAAACCTTTTAGGGTCCGAATGCTTCTTTTCGTAAGCACCCATTGGAGATCCAACAAAATTATCACAAGGTATATTCAAATATGGACCTAATTTCCTTCCTTTAGAGACTTCTTTTTCAATGTTATTTTGAACAGCTTCACTATTAATGAAAGATGATTTCCAATTTTTTTGCACACGTGATATCCTTGGTCCTGTATATCCTAGAGAGACGCCGAATTTTGCGCCATCTATAATCTGTTTTACTTTTTTTTATCTGGGTGGTTTTTAAAACCTTCTTGAAGGACTTCATGATTAAGTGGAAGATGAGCTCGAAGGTTTTGTACATGGGCATTTAAAATTGGGGAATTTTGATCCACATGCTTTGCATTTGTGGAGTCTGTAACACTTATCTCCGAATTTACATTCCCCTTGATTGAATTTAAAGCATCTGTCCTTTTCCTGATCTTTCTCCAACGTGGATTTCTCTTGAAAAGTGCAATTTGCGACCTTGTGGTTTCCGTAGCATCTATGACATTTCAGTTGTTGACGGACAGACGTTGCGTCAAATGTCGTCACATAGAGCGTTGTATCAATGGTTTGATAATCGAAAGTTTTTTTCTGTGCGAGTTTGCTTCGAAATTTAATATCGTTCACCGATTTCCATGTAATTTTTTTGTCAGAATCTTGAATCAGACTACGGTAACTTGATAAACAAGTGTATAAATCTGGATTGTGTTGAATCAATATATTCTCAAATACATTCCATGCGCTTAGCCACTGAATAAACGTTGCTAATGTTTTGACTTTTCTTTATTTTTGCTGTTTTAAATTCCCATCTTCGAATATGAGATTTTGTTCTGGATGATCTACATTATCCGAATACACATTGTCGGCAATAAGGTCGGTCAAATTGAAGTACTCACCGTTTATGATTGCGTTGATTGTTTTTTCGCTTAGTGGTAAGTAACACGTTGGCTTAGGTCTATGATTGACAACGGGTTTGACAGAAGTTGGAATGACGGGTTGGTTTTGACTTTGAGGTGTGGTCGGTTGAGCAGTCAAACCGGTTTTTAAGCGTTCCACGTCACTGGCTAGGCTTTTCATTTCGGTTTGTATTTTGTTGTTGCGGAAGTTAGTACCTGCATTTGTGAGGACAGTTGAATTATCGCCATTTGCCAGGGTTCCATATTTTCTTTGCCTCCAACAGCTCCTTCGAAAAGTTCTTGTTTTGCATCTTGTTCATGTTGAACAGGATCTTAAGAGGTTCTGGACAAATCATTTGATTCTGGACTTGTCATATTTTTTTTTCAACGAAATCACATCCAAGGGTTGAATTTTTATTAGCTATTTAGAGAGTGAGTCCTGCCTAGTATTAATTTCAATAAAAAAGTTAAAATAGAACCCTATTTGAGAGTCAATCTAATACTTACATTACATTGATAAATTAAGGCAAATCCTGAAATATTTTTAAAGTGCATTTTTTTATGAAATATTATCCAGCAAGTATTTAAATGAAACGGTCTTATTTAAATACAAATCATAACATGATGATATTTTTCATGAAACATTTTTCAATGAAATTCAATTGAAGGGTCAAGATAAAACGAGCTAATTTAGGTGGAAACCCTTACATGATGATGTGTTTTCATAACTTCTTTCATAAAATTCCATCAAGGGGTGAAGATAAAATGATCGAATTTAAGTGATTTAAGGATCACGAGAATATGTTTTCTTTGATATTTTCTATAAAATCCCATCCAATGGTCAAGGTAAAATTTTGATTTTGATTTTGATTTGGTCACGTGTTCGGAAGATCGATATAAGGCCCATAGAACCATATAGGAACGTCATTTTGAATGTCATGTGATAGATCCATATAAGGCTTTTAGAACCATTTATGGAAAGATGAGGGGAAGCCCCTGACACCTGTTTCACGATTTTTATGCACTTCATTATTGTACCGAAGTTTGCCGATTCGATTCGTCGTATTTCGGAATCCTGGTGACAATTTTATACTCCATTGGAGTATTTTTGACCTACTTCTTATGACGGAAATTCCCGAACCTTGTTCGGATTAATCCGGATTTTCTGACCTACTTTATCTACCGAGATTTCACGAGTTAACATTCGTCTCATTCCGGAATCCTGGTGACAATTTTATACTCCATTGGAGTATTTTTGATCTACTTTTTCTGGATCTTGCCCTACTTATTATATCTTGACAACAAGCAAATCAAAAAGTTCGACATGAACGGGTCTCGATCAACTAACCTAGACAATGGAAGCCAGGCACGCTAACCATGAGGCCAACGAGCTATCGATATGAAAGAACAAAAGTATTATATATTTTTACCGAGCGCCAATTCAAAATGATCCTCACTTTTGCCCCCACTTAAATACGACTCGTCAGTTGTATCCAGAATAGTAGAACGCCTATGGCGCTAGTGAATAACCAAGTCCCAGGTGAGTGGTTCGTATCCCTCCGTGATATACTATTTTTGTTTTATTAAATACGACAGAAAGGAGCAAGGTGTAGGTTGAAAACAAGACGTTAGTTTGTTTCAAAACAGTTTGGAAACATTAATCTCTGATAATTTAAGGTTTTCCACTCCTGAAGGGCCTCTAGATCTATGAAATTCAATAATCCACTCAGTAAAAATACGATTTCTCTGCAACCTGATGTCCAATCAAGATCATTCAAATATATATGTGTTCCTGACACGTTTGGGCGTCCGGGAATAAAATTGTTTGTGAAAACTATTTACAAAAGTGTTCCAGAGACCCTTATCTACTTGGCTAAGGTTTTATTTGAAGATACATTGCCTTATTAAGCAGGTAGAGGGGCATACAGAACACAGAAGCAAATGCTATGTTGAAAATTTTCTATATTTCAATTTGAACCTGTGTTTACATGTCACGTAGGCCAGTGTTTTATATGGGGATTATATGTACTTTCCTTGTTTACATGAACGTAAATCATTACATGAAATCTGCATTCTTCTGGGTTTAAGGTACAGCTGGAAAGTAACATTTTGGTAAAAAATTGCTATACCTGCACATGTTATTTTCTGGTACAAAATAAAGTATGAAGCCATGTGTCAATTTCCTTGCTTTTTTCAGGAAAGTATCATTACATTGTCTTCTTTTAAAATATCTGGTAGGCGTTCAATGGGAACTCCAGGAAATTCTGATATTTCACACTTTCTATTTTTCCAAATTTTCTTTCAAAGTTTCCAGACAACACAGGAGCTACCATTGACCTGTTTCCAGATATTCTAAAAGAAGATAGTGTAATGATACTTTCCTGAAAAAAGCAAAGAAATACACATATGCCTTCATACCTAATTTTGTACCAGAAAATAACATGTGCAGCTATAGCAATTTTTTACCAAAATGTTACTTTCCAGTTGAACCTTAATCTGGGTTTGTATTGTCTTATTGGGGCTTTTCGACTTTAAAACAAACCCTACCTAAATGGATTGTGTCTCGGGAACGTTTTTGTAAATAGTTATTATAAACAATTCTAAAAGAATATCACATATTTTTGTCTTCCCGATTTCAGTCATGAATTACGTCAATTCCTCGTGCAAACATTGGGTAGACGTTGTCATAACCGGATGCCCGCAAACGTGTCAGGAACATATAGATACTCGAATGATGTTGATTGAACATCAGGGTGCAGAGAAATCGTAATTTTACTGAGTGGCTTCACGAAAAAATAAGCAGCACTTTAGGCCACCTAAATACAACTCGTCAGTTGTATCCAGTTGGAATCCCAGCGTAATGTTTTTAATTATATGGTTGTGCTTTGATTTTACGCTGAAAACATTTATAACTACGTCAACTTTATATTAAAACATTTATTATCTTTTCAGTTGTATTAAAATGTAAAATATGATATATGTCAGCTTATTGCTTTCTGGAGAACAATCAAGGTTTAAATTTGGTACAATGAATCGGACACTCATGTAAATCGACATGGTTATAACATTGAACTCAATGCAGTAAATTAGTTATTTCTATGAATCACAGCGGGATTGGTTTCATTTTATATGATTGCCAACTCTGGCGTTTTTTTGTAAATGCTTTTGACCGCTGTAAATGTGAAACTGATACAGTATTATTCAATTGTTTTATGTCTTGGTCACATTTGCTCCGATTTTCACTACGGCGCCCGGCCGATTGAGTATTG